ATGATAATCGTGATAATGGTAATAACAATAATGACAATAGCAATAATGATTATCATGTCAGTAATGGTAATTATTACAATGGCGACGATAATGATAATTGTGATGATAATAGCTATGATGATGGTAATAGTAGCACTAGTAATGATAATGGAGATGATAAGGACAATAAGGATAATGGTAATGATAGTGATTATATTAGCGATAATGATAATTTTACTGATGTTAATGTTAATGATAATGTTCTTAGTAATAAGGATAGCGATGGTTATGACACAATAAAAACAATAATAATTATTGTAATAAAAGAAGCGACAATGATAATGATAATAACAATAATGATAATTATGAAGATTATAAAGAAAATATTAATGACATTATGAATGAGAATAATAATAATGACAATAATTATAACAACTATAATAATGATTATATTAGCAATGATAATTACATTAACAATACTGATTATAACGCTGATGATAATAATAATAGTGATAATGTTAATGATAACGGTAATAATAACTGTAAAACAATAATGATATGGTAGTGATAGTAATAATATTAATAAAACTGATTATAATGATGATATGATTGACAATGACAATGATGATAGGAAGGGTGATTGTAATCATTATGAAAATATTTTTTAACAATGATAATAAAAGTAATGATAGCGACAATGATATTAACAGTAGCAACAGCAGTAATAATAATGATGATAATTGATGAGAATAATGAAAATTAATAACAATTGTACTTTTGACGATAATGTTCATGGTAGTAACATCAGTAGTAATAGTAATCATAATGATGATAATGAATATAATAAAAAGAAATAAAAGGAAAATAATAATGATAGTAATAGCGATAATTATGAAATTAATAAAGAGCAATAATAAAAACAATAATGATGATAATAATAATGATAGTAATAATGATAATGAAAATAATCATCATAACAAGCTTAAAAATACTGATAATGTTTATTCTACTACTACCACAACTGTTGCCACTACAACTAATGGCAATAACACAACAACACAACACAACACAACAACAATAACAACAACAACAATAATAATAACAACAATAATGATGATAATAATGATAATAATAATGAGGATGATGAACCTAATAATGATAATAATAATAATAATAATAATAATAATAATAATAATAATAATAATAATAATAATATAATAATGATAATAATAAAATGATAATAATTATATATAACAAGATGATGATGAATGATAATAATAATAATAATAATAATAATAATAATAATAATAATAATAATAATAATAATAATAATAATAATAATAATAATAAAATATAATAATAATAATAAATAATAATAATAATAATAATATTAGTAATAATAATAATAATAATGATAATAATGATAATAATAATAATAATGATACGTATAATCGTAATATAAGGATAATAATGTTAATGACGGCTACCAAAGCACTTAGCTCCGCCCAGACAATAGGGTCTCAGATGCAGTAAAAAATATTCCCACTTGAAGACATATTAAAATCACGTCTTTCTCAAGGACACGGGTGACGTCCATAAACACAGGCTCCTTGGCTCAGGTAATAAAGGTAATTATAATATGTATATTTACCCCTGTTGGAAAAGCAAAAGGGGTAATTTTGCAATCATTAAAAAAAAAAAAAAAAAAAATCCGAAATGGCATCTAAAGGC